GGCCTGGTACCCGTATCCAGCCTACGGCCTGCTTCACATTCATTTACACAGGTGGCCCAGGGCCTGGATTCTTTCAACCAACTGGCGCAATGCAACTGTCTGAATTTCCCCGTTGCGGGGTACCCTGAAGAATGAGGCCCGAAGGGCCTGTCGTGCCTGCCTTCACTTAGGGTGGCCGACCTTGTTGCAGATAGGGCCCCGTAGGGGCTAAGCGAGCGTAGCCTCGCACGGGAATCATTTATCTACCTTTTATTCATCGATCCTTAATGAGTCCCCTTGATCTTCGCCAACCCTCCTGATTGCTACCCTCGGCATGATTCCACTGTTGTTGAGTGACGGTGATATGGTTGGTTGGTGCTGCAATTGGTACTACAACGAGATGGGTCATGCGGCTCTATTATATTGGTATGATTCATTTGCGGCATGGTACGGTGTTCTACATTGGTCCGGTACGGTACTGGATCGGAACGGGCTCGGTACGCCTGTTCGGGAGGTTCGAGCATCGCCATGGTTCAGGCCCGCTGCAGTTCAAGACGGTTGTTTCAGATCTGGTGTTGGTTCGACAGTGCAACGGTACAAGCAGCTGCAGTTCGGAACAGTTATGTCCAATTCGGAACTGGCACAGTATGGTCATCGGTTTGGTATTAACATGGTTCATTTGTGGCATGACACAATAGTCTGCATTTGTCTGGTACGCCGCCGGAACTGAATAGGCATGGTGCACTGGCTTGACACAAGTACAGTTCTGCGGTTCGGCGCAATAAATTCTGACACGGATACTGGTACGAAATTGCTATGGTCCACCTGCAGCTCAACATGGTACTTTCAAGAGGCCGACAACGGTACTGGCCACTGCGGTTCATGGCAGTTATTTCCGGTATGGTTACTGGTTCGGATACGGGCACGACACTATTCATCTGGTCACGGTGGGAACTGTTCAGGCCTGTGATAGGAGGCTCCTGGCTTTGAGACTGGTTCGGTGACAACCGTTGGTCCTACAGCCGGTACCGCTGTACTCGCATCGGTCCCACACCCCTGGTACCGGGGCTGATACTGCCAATATTGGTTAGGCAAGCAATTCGGGTAGGGCCAGTCCTCAGCCACGTAATGGGCACTGGCTGGGCCTTTTCTCTTGGGGGAAGGCAGCGGCCTCAGGGGCACTATAGGAGGACCTGCAGAAGGTGGAGGATGCATTCAGTCAGCCGGGGATGTGCCAGGTGTATGCAGTCCACTTCAGAGCTCGATTCAAGCATGCGCGATCGGGCGGCGGTCAACGGCATAATGATGAATGAGAGAGACTGAGGGTGAAGGGGGCAATGGTTTTAGTCAGTGTGCGAGGCCTACACAGCCCCCATCAGATCTGTCGGGCAGGAAGGAGCACGTCCGGCAGGAGTGACTCTGCCTGAGAAGCGCCCAGCGAACGGCGCGCGATTAGCCTGGTGGGCGCGAGGCCAGAGGGACAACCCGTGATTCTCATTGTACGGATGACCTTGCGCGCCTGCTGTGCACACTATGCTGAAGCTCGTCAGCTGATTGAGAAAGATGTTCTCAATCAAGGTTGGAGGTTTTTCCGTAGCGAGAGCCAGGAACGAGAGGGAAGCGAGAGGAAACATGCTGACGGACTGGATCCATCGAGTGTTCAGCACGGGATCCACACCGTGTTGAACGAGGAAGTGATGGAGAACTCTTGTGAGGTGAGCACGAGTGTCACAAGTATCATTTGGAGGTGAGAAGGGGAGGCGAAACGGTAGATCTGCCGCGCGTGCAAGAGCTCCTCTGCGCGCCTCCCTCTTGAAACCCCTCTCTCACAAGAGGATGCAGGACAGCGGATATCAGAGGAACCTGATCGTCTGCTGAAGGAAGGAAGTGAGCGGACAGCGGGCGCCGCGCCTAAGAGAACAGCCATCGCCAGAGATGAACAGTAAAGCTCTTTTCAGCTGTATCTGGGGGGGCCAATCGGCGCTCACCCACTACTTGTAGAAGACACGACTGTCACGATTCCATTCTGTGAGAGGTACTACTAACCCGACACATACTCGGCAAGCATAGTGATCTGCTGACAATCGTTCGAGAAAGACGGCCGCCTTGATGAGACCAGTTTCCACTTAGGGGTTTGGCTCAGCTCCAATCATAGCTAAAGATCGGTAACTCCCTTACTTGTCTTTTCCCTTTTGTTTTTTTTTTCTTTTCTTTTCCCCCTTTATCTACTCGAATGGCAACATAAGAGCTGACGGGTAAATTGCTACTAATGGCCCCTCAGAACGAGGTGAAAGATGACCGTTTGTGCTCAGGGCGGAGCGTAATCTTTGCTGAACTCGGACCCCGTATCTCTTGCTCATACTATTGTCGAGGACAGGACACCGCTGAGGCGCGCGCGCGCGCGCGCGCGAGAGAGAGAGAGAGAGAGAGAGAGAAGAGGGGAAAAGAGGAGGAGCTAGGGAGAGAGGGTCTGAGGGGATTACATCAGGACCGCATTCCATTTAGGGACGGATAGCAAGGTGCCTCCGGAACGTAGGGGAGACTTCATGCGTGTCAGTGTGGTGGGCTAGTCAGAATTAGCTCACAAGGGAACTGCAGGAAAATGGAATGGGACAAAGCGAGCGAGCCAGGGCGCCATACTGTTGGAAGTTCGTGCTGTATTGGCCAGCTTTCGCATCTTATTTAGCACTTGAAAGGACTGAACTAGTGAACGAAGGTCAGATGTTGGACAAAGTTGTGCCGAGCGAAAGCTAGGTGGTCTAACGACATTAACTTCTCGCTCCTCCGACTGAAATCGAGGAGGAGACGCTTGTCTGACGGGTTGACTGCTTTTTTTTTTCTCTCCTTATTTTCGTCAGATCCTGCCCCTCACATTGACAAATGTTCTTCCCCTTGGGCATCCGACAAACTTGAAACGCTCACCCGTGTGTGCGGTAAGAGAGTTTGGGCAGTATGCAGTTTCGGTACTACGGGTAGGATTGAACAGATTACATAGGGCGTTAAACAAAGCTCCTAAGGGAAGAGGTGGAGACTCTGGGTAAGCCGTCTGGGCTACAAAGGAAGACTCTTACCAACTGGATCGGGGTTTCAGGGACTTTGTGCAGACTTTGCAGGGACCAAGAAGTGTATGGCTGTTATTTTAAAGCTGAAATGAAACTTGGTTAACGAAATTATTTTGCTTGGCCCATCAGACGGGGGAGAACCGGTCAGGGTTTATGTTCCAGAAACTTTCTCGCCTTCAGCATAATCACTCTGCTGCATTGTCCGTCGAGCTTCCTCATTGAAAGCTCCCTAATTCTGTGTTCCAAGGATAATGCAGGTGAGCGGCAGGGCTACAGATGGCGACCATGGGTTCTATCGAATTGGCCTTGAAACTGCAGTGTCACCCCTGGGGTTTGGCTTGATCCCCCAATCGTCTGCGTCTATAAGCCCCCTTTTGTTTCGTTGAGAAGAATTGCAGTTTTGTCTGATGCTACGCGCGGATGCTGTACCACTCCGCTTTTGACCGCGTTCTTACCTTATCACTCCCTATAAGAGACACGGTTCATTTCCTTCCCATCAAACTTAGGACTCGCCAGGGAAATGGCAACACAGGGTTCAAGCTCAGTCTCAGAATTGCCAACCTGAGCAGGGTGGGTCGCCAGACCATCACTTTCTACCTTCTCTTCAGCTCCTCCCACAACACCTAACCTTGCCTTCGTGTGACAGACAGAACGAATCTCCGCACCCTACCGATCGCTGAGGACCTCGGAGGCGGGCGCAATGAGTGACAGGCGCTGTAACCCTTGGCTTCAGCGAACGGTAGGTGACCCCTCCCCCGGTTTCCTCACAACGGTACGGACCAGAACAAGAACGGACCTCTCTCACATAGTACAAGATAGGGCAGCGGAAGGCTAATACACCAATGATCAGACCAATCAACATCGCAATGCAGGCCAAACACACATCATCATCATCACGTGGTGTGAAGGGGCCTGGCGCTTACACAGGAAGAATGCGCCAGTCCCACCTCATACACAGACGAAGAGGAGGGGGATCAGACGAAGAAGAGGGGGAAGATGGGAATGTCGTCGACACCAAGTCTTCGACACAGGTCCCAAATAATCCCTCGTCAAATGTCTCAATCCCAATGTCAAGTCGGAATCCAAATGTCGTCAAGGTCCGGTACTAACCTGTGAAGGTGGCGCCTTGTTGCAGGTACATCAAAGACGAAGCTGGAGCCATGGCGCTGCAGGTAAGTCTCCCTCGCCTCCGCCAACTCTGTCTCCCTCCAACGCTACTCTAAGCTCCTAATAGTGCCCAACGCTGAAAACTACTCCTAACGCTACTACTCTACTGCAACGCTCCTCCAGAGTGTTGCTGCCGAATCCTGAAGACTGCCTCCTGCCTCCTGCACGTGAAGTGCCCAAGAACTGCCTGGGAAGTCCCCGTGAGCTACCTGCAGCCTGCAGGGCGTGCCAGTACTATGTAGTGCTGGCCCGTCCGGGAGGCTGCTCTTGCCAATGCCGAAACGTGCCAGACCCTTGCGTTGGAGTTCAAACAAATGTTGTCTTGAAACAGGCCCAAAAATGGCCTGTGTTAAACCCTAGCGCTTGAGTTTCAGGGCAGGGTGACTTTATAAGGGCCTGAAAATGGCCCTCGTTTTCAGGCTTTTAGGCTGCAACGACACAGGGCCTGGAGGGCCCTTATTTTCCGTCTGGTTGGGCCTTGCAGGCCCGTGTGGATGCGCAGTACGCCACCCTCCCCCCCCCCCTCTTTGAAAGACCGAGCTTACCTGCGAGGGCGAAGCTGACTGTCAGACGGAGGGACCAAAGTCCGGGTGGGAAGGGCAGGTCGTGAAGCTTCCTTAGCTAGTCTTTGTCGTTCGTAGTGAGCATAGATCAGAGGTGCGGATGCTTGCAAATCTGCTCGTGAAATCCATCGAGTGTCGTCAGGATCGCATGCTTTGAAGATAGCTTTGTACTGTCGAGGCTTGTTGCCGTACTTGTGATCCGTGATGACGCGGTCGACTTCCTAATGACCATCCATAGACGAAGGGTCTTGCGATCGCTTGTCCGGGAAGTCATCGTCCTTTGCTGGTGTGTATGTTGCCAGCTTCGAGGCGTGAAAGACTAGATGTACCAGCAGATGCGGAGGGATGTCAATCACAAAGGATGGGCCGTCGGACTCGTCGCCTGCGGCTGAACGGACGGTCCATGGTCCAAACCACTTGGGGAGTAGCTTGGGCGAAACATCCTGTTCGAGCGCAAACTCTTCCGCGGAGACCCAAACTTGGTCGCCGGCGAGGATAGGACATGGTACGTGGCGCCGATTGGCTTGCTGCTGCATACAGACTTGAGGCTTTTGCATGTTTGCACGGGCTTGAGCCAACAATTCCCTGTACTTCCAGACGGAGGCGGGAGAGCAAGCGGCATCGATGTCGGTTGTTCGTGGAACGAGAAGATCAGCAAAGATACGGCCTTTCCGTCCACCGTGGTGCAACTCGAATGGAGTCACGCCGATCGCCCGATGCAACGAAATGTTGTAGGCGAACTCGATGTCGGGGAGGCGGTCAACCCAATCCTTCTGATCCGGACGAATGAGCGTACGAAGCATCATTTGAGCGGTTTGATGTGCCCGCTCCGTTTGCCCGTCCGTTTGTGGATGCCGAGCCGAACTTGGTTTCATCTTGGTGTCGGATTCCTGCATGAGAGAAGTCCAAAACGCCGACATGAAACGAGTGTCGCGGTCGCTAACGATGTCTTCCGGTACGCCGTGGCTGCACATCCAGCCGGTGTGCAAGAGGCACACAAGTACGGGAGCCGTGGCATAGTACTTGCAAGGGAGAAATCGCGTGTATTTACTAAATCGGTCAACGCCCGTGAGGAGGCCATCGTGCCCGAGGCGGTCGCGGGAAAACAACCCGATGACATCCATAGCAATGGAGAGGTCGGGTTCCTGTGGGATGGGCAACGGGCGCAACTCGCTGTAGGGATTGCGGTTGCGGGGCTTGCTTCGACGACAAACTTCGCAAGAGTCGCAATACCGAGTGACATCGGTTATAAGGTCGGGCCACCTGAGTCGTTGTCGAAGTCGTGCGATAGTCCAATTGACTCCGAAATGGCGAAATGGCCGTCGAGAAGGCGAGTCCGAAGACGGCGGTCTCGTGGGACACACAATAAGTCCTTGCCTCACAAGTGGAGAAGCAAGTACTGTCGAAGATGCGATAGTGGTTGGCCGGCGGGTAATCCGAAGATAGCTGCGCATATAGCGTCGCGAAATCCAGATCAGACTGGTCGCCCCAAACGAAATGCCGCTGAAGTTCCTCGTCGAATGCGAAGGCATGATGTGTCATAAATGCTAAGGACGGGTGCCATGAGCATGGCTGTCTTGAGTGCTTGGAATGACCGGCGCGCGTCGTTATCGAATACGAATGGCACCTTTGGCGATTGTAATCTCATCAATGGTGCGACAATCCTCGAGTTCCCGGTGATGAAGCGTTGATAGTAGCCTGCCAACCCCATGAATGAGCGAACGTCCGTGGTGTTGGTGGGCTCGGCCCATACGCGGATGGCCTCGATCTTGTCCATAAGTGGACGGATGCCTTGGCCCAAGTACTCGAGCTCTTGCCGCGCGAATTCACATTTGTCGCGGTCGACTTTGTACTTGCCTTGTTGTAGCCGTTCCAAAACGGTGCGTAGATGCTCCACATGCTCGTCCAAACTCCAGTTGTACACCAAGATATCGTCGAGGTAGATGAGTACAAATCTATCCAGCATGTGTCGGAACTCCGTTCTCATAGCCACTTGGAACGTGATCGGGGCATTCATAAGGCCAAAAGGCATAACCAGCCATTCAAATGCCCATATTGCGTCTTTAGCGATCCTCCTACCGGATCTCGAGTTGGTGATATCCCGATATGAGGTCCAGCTTGGAGAAGAACTTTGCGCCGCCTAGCCGTTCGAGATGGTCGTCGATGCGTGGAAGAGGGCCGGCGTTCTTGGAGGTTTGCGCGTTCAGCTTGCGATAATCGATGCACAACCGCAAATCCTTGTTCTTCTTCTGGACGAAGAGAACAGGAGCACCGTATGGCGAAGAGCTAGGCCGAATCCAGCCTTTCTCAAGAAGGTCGTCGAGTTGTGCCCGTAGCACACTTAACTCTTCCTCGCTCATGTGGTAGATGCAACCACGCGGAGGTACGGCCCCGACCTCGAGGATGATCTCGTGGCCGATAGGCCGATCCGATACTACTCTGTGCGGGGCTTCGAACACGTCGTCGTAGGCGTCGAGAAGCTCGGTGATGCGTGGGTCCGTCGATGCGTCCTTTGATGGGATGTCATGGGGAGGGAGGGCGTGGAGAAAACACACCCCCATCGCCTCGATGTCGTCCCTGGTGATGGAAGCTCGATGCTTGCGGGGGACACCACGTGACAACTGATTGAGGGGTGAGGTGGAGGCACCGTGCATGAGACTAGTACTATGTTCCGATCACGAACGTGAACGGTGTGGCGGTAGAAGTTCACCGGGTGATCCTCGCTTCGCAGCCATGACATGCCCAAGATCATGTCGAATTGGATGTCCAAAATGTTAAAGTACACGGGGACGAAATCAATGCACCGGTCGATTGACTTGTGCGTGTGACCGTCGGCCAATGTGACTTGCGTGGGCTGCAACTTCCTCCGAACGCGTGGCCCAAGGTCAGCGAGTACCATAAAATCTTGGCTGATATAGTTGCGAGTGGCTCCGCAATTGATCAAAGCGTTGCAGGTCGCCTCTCCGATCTGAATGCATATGTACAACAATGACGCGTCGTTGTTGTCGTACCGTTATGTCTTGAACTCACGGTCGATCTTCGCAACGTAGTCGTGAAGGTCAACAACCTCTACTCCGGCGTCCATCAACAGAGCTGGTCCTGCAGTGTGCAAGTAATCCCGCAATCGTGCCATGAGGACGTTGCAATAGGGTTTCGGCAATGGAACGGTCGGTGGAAGGGGCATTCATTGGAAGTCCACGAACGACAACGGGTCGAGTCTCTCAAGTCTTGACCATGACATCGAATCCCCAACGAAAGTTGGCGGCGAAGCTGCCGAATCGGTTGCCGATGGCGGTGAAACCGTGCATGCGGTGGATTGTTGCACGTGGAGTGGCTGGTCCAACGGTGGGACCAAGTGGACAACGTAATCCTCGTAAGTGAACCGAGGACTCACGACATCCGCATTCTCCCCAGATGTGTAGGAGGCCGCTAGCAAGGCGGCCGAATCTGGCGGAGTGAGAGGTGGAGTCGCCTCACCTCCCGCGCTGCTCAGTTTTCGAAGTTGATTCGAGGTCGAACATCCTCCTTGCCTTGATCCTGGGAGGTCTTGTGCTTCGTGCTGTTGCACCAATAGCAGCAGCCGTATCGGCTGCGGTACTTGTATTCGGCCTCGGTCAAGTTGAACTTGCCCATGGTACTGGCTGTCCATTTCCGTCTGGCGATGCTGTTTTCACCTTCCCTTTGACACGGGAGTTGTTGCTTCGCGGCTGGACGGCAGCCACCCGATCTCCCTCACGTGATGCTGGGGTGGTTGTCGGGTCTTCCACAAGGTTGTCCGGTTGGACTGCAGCGACTGGCTGCGGACGCGGACCAAATTTTCCTTTCTCCACATAGGGTGGCTGCCACACTGACTTCTCGTGTGCAGCAGCCCGGTTGCTCTTGATGATCTCACCCGCCTTCTCGATGATTTCGGTGAAGGTTATGTACTGTTCTCGATCACCAAGTGCGATGCTCAAGGCGGCACATGACCGGTTGTACAACTCCCGGTGCAGATGTGGAAATGGCAAGTCAAGATCGGGTGTTGCCACGATCTTTTGCCACTCCGTGAGCTAGTCGCGTGTCGGTGTGTTGCATGGAGTCATGCTGAAAAGGCGGTTAATGGCGAGCGGCGGGGCGTCGTCGACAATGAACCGCTTCTTCCATTCCCTCGTCATCTCGTCCCAGGAGATCTTCTTGTGCAGATCGGAGACTTGGACGTCGTGGATGGTTGTCATGTGGCTGAGCCAGATCTGGCATATGCCCTTGGCGTTGAGGAACAGCGCTGAGATGTACAAGTGCGCGGGGACGTCATGAATCCCAAGCTCCGTTGTAAAGCCTTGCCACCAGATGACTGGGTCCTGATGTGTATAGTCGTCAAACTTCTTGATCCGGAAAGTCAGTATCTTGTATGGCCGCGATGCACTGGTGCTGCCATCGTTGTCGGGCGGATGGTGTAGCTGTTTGAGATCGGTCTTCAAGGTGTCGAGGTGCTCGCTGACGGTGGCTGGTGCGGCGAAGGTGCTGATGTCTCCGAGCATTGTGACTGCATGGTCAACTCCTTCCTCCAATTAGCGGGTTGAGGCTGCACTGCTGGGTTCGCCAGCATCTGGTCCTAGTGCTGCTTGCTCCAAGTCCTGTGCACGGGAATTTAGTGCCCGTGCAGATCCTTGTGGTTCCGCATTGTCCGTTCGAGATTTGCCAGCTCAGACTGCAGGTGGTTGCAAGTGTAAACCAACCGGGTCACGAACTTGGCGAGAAACTCCTTGTGCTGCTCTTCCGTTGTCGCGTCTTCGTGGCTCTCGGATGGTTCGAAATGCCAGAACTTGAGGTTGTCGACACTGGCGGCTTCGTGCCGCTTCAGCAGATCCTGGGCCTCCTTGCGGAGGGCCTGTGCATCTGCGTCAGCTTCGGCCTGAAGCCGCTGCTTTTCAGCTGCTGCCGCCGCTTCAGGCTGTTGGCGGGCAGCCTCAGCTGCCGCCTGGCGCTGTTCCTCAGCCTCGATCAGTGCGAGCTGAGCATGGAACCGCTGTCGGTACTCGACAATGAACTTGTTGGCCAGTTGGACTGGCATGCCCAAAACTGAACCCGTCATGGTGGCGGGGCACTGCTGATGTTGGTACTGCTGCTGTCGTGGCACTGCTGATGTGGCACTGCTGACATGACACTGCTGACGTGGCACTGCTGCTGTCGTGGCACTGCTGACGTGGCACTGCTGATGTGGCACTGCTGACGTTGGGGCACTGCTGACGTGGCACTTACCAAACCGGGAATGCAGACAAAGGGCTGGGTGGCAGGGAAACGCAGGAAGGTAACAAAACTGCACTTTCCATCCCCAGTCCTAATCAACAGAATAAAATAAAAATAAAAGAAGAGGATCMCCCCCCCCCCCTTTTTTCTTTTGTATATCTGTCGATCTGCTATCAGTGAGGCATTACAGAGCAGTAATATGAGTGAGATGTAGGCAAGGTTTCGCAAAGTTTCGGCTTCCAAAAAACTGCAATTTTGAAAAAAAAAATTGCGCGAAATAGACTGGAGTTTCCACTTTCAGAGAAGAATAGATCCAGTCCGAGAATATGATAGCCTCCCTGGTTCACCTAATATGCCCAGAGTGAAACAGAAAACGACATGCTAAGATCCGAAGTTGCGAGAAATAATTTTTTTTTGCAGAGATTTGACGAAGCCCTACTTGATTATCAACCAACCAACCAACCAACCTGGCTCCTTGATTGGGAGGATCCTCTGATTGAGAGGTCCGCTCAATACCAAACTGTCGCATACCGTAACGGTACAGACCAGAACAAGAACCGACCTCTCTCACATAGTACAAGATAGCGCAGCGGAAGGCTAATATACCAATGATCAGACCAATCAATGTTGCAATGCAGGCCAAACGCACATCATCATCATCACGTGGTGTGAAGGGGCCTGGCGCTTACACAGGAAGAATGCGCCAGTCCCCAATCATACATAGACGAAGAGGAGGGGGATCAGACGAAGAAGAGGGGGAAGTGGGAATGTCGTCAACGCCAAGTCTTCGGCACAGGTCCCAAATAACCCCTCGTCAAATGTCTCAATCGCAATGTTGAGTCGGAATCCAAATGTCGTCAAGTCCCGAAGTCGCCAATCTCTCTCTCTATCTCATAGTCTGCTGATGATGAGAAGTCAGGTAGCGAGAGGGTGAGGGAGAGATGGTGGACTTAAAGAGGAAGAAGAAGAACTCTCTCTCTCTTTCCCTCAGTCCGGTACTAACCTGTGAAGGCGGCGCCTTGTTGCAGGTACATCGAAGATGAAGCTGGAGCCATGGCGCCGCACGTAAGTCTCCCTGGCCTCCGTCAACTCCCTCTCCCTCCAACGCTACTCTAAGCTCCTAATAGCGCCCAGTGCTGAAGACTACTCCTAACGCTACTACTCTACTGCAGCGCTCCTCCATAGTGCTGCTGCTGAATCCTGAAGACTGCCTCCTGCCTCCTGCACGTGAAGTGCCCGTGAAATGCCTGGGAAGTCCCCGTGAACTACCTGCAGCCTGCAGGGCGGGCCAGTATTATATAGTGCTGGCCCGTCTGGGAGGCTGCTCTTGCAAATGCCGAAACGTGCCAGACCCTGGCGTTGAAGTTCAAACAGAGGTTGTCTTGAAACAGGCCCGAAAATGGCCTGTGCTAAACCCTGGTCTGGCGCCTGAGTTTCAGGGCAGGTCGACTTTATGGGGGCCTGAAAATGGCCCTAGTTTTCAGTCTTTTAGGCTGAAACGACACAGGGCCTGGAGGGCCCTTGTTTTCCGTCTGGTCGGGCCTTGCAGGCCGTGTGGATGCGCAGTATGCCACAGTGGATGTCCGTGGGACACGTGAAGAAGAAGAAGAAGAAGAAGAAGAAGAAGAAGAAGAAGAAGAAGAAGAAGAAGAAGAAGACGAAGAAGACGAAGAAGACGAAGACGACGAAGACGACGAAGACGAAGACGAAGAAGACGGACGAAGAAGAAGAAGAAGAAGAAGAAGAAGAAGAAGAAGAAGAAGAAGAAGAAGAAGACGGACAAAGACGGACAAAGACGGATGAAGACGAAGAAGACGAAGAAGACGAAGAAGAAGAAGAAGAAGAAGAAGAAGAAGAAGAAGAAGAAGAAGAAGATGATGTAGACGAGTGCTGGAGGATGGTGCGCAGGGATTGGGAAAGGGTGGGCAACAAGAAGAAGAAGAAAAAGAAGAAGAAGAAGAAGAAGAAGAAGAAGAAGAAGAAGAAGAAGAAGAAGAAGAGAAGAAGAAGAAGAAGAAGAAGAAGAAGAAGAAGTGAAGTAGAAGAAGAAGCAGCGAAGTA